GCCATAAATGTATCTTCCACAAGGCTTTTGTGGGTTGCGTTAGATATGGAACCCGGTTTGCTGTTCTTTAAGAGCTTCAGATTTCTCTTCTGAGCCTCTGGGTCGTCTTTTAGCAATTTAAACCTTTTGGCAGAATTAGTATGGCTGGTGTTGGGACTTTCACAAGAAACACTCTTTGGTGCGCTTTTTCTTCTAGCGTTTCTAAAAAATTGGCTGAGCTGCTTTTGCAGAGAAAGCTGTAAAAACAAAATTATTTTATCAGAATATATAGAACAGTTTAGCCTGACAAAAAGAGAGCATTAATTGTTAATAAAACCTATTGTCAATTGTATATTACCGCTTCAGTATTTTGTGGGTAACATCACACAATAAAAACAGTGAACAGTAATAGAGTACATAAAACACCTAGAATGTTATTGGACAACATGGAATACTCAAGTAGAAGGAGTCAAAAGAATGCATTGCTACTTGATGGGACTATAATGGTAATTAATCTACTAGCTGGTAACTGAAAACAGTTTTCTTATGTTTGTAAGAAGCGAGAAACCCTTAAATATATAATCCAATGAAATCTGGGACAATATGATATATAATTGTATAACACGCCTTACCCAATAATTTGAGGGAGTTGTATCTCTCAGTTCAGGGAACTTTTGACAAGTCAGAAGTGCCATTCTTTTGTAGTCTCCTTGCTGTGGAGTGCTGGTAATGCCCAAGTAAAACGAACCAATATCATTTACAATTTGCCGGCGTACAGGCAAAACCGATCCATTCTTGACCGCTTGTTGTACAGCCACAGAAAAGTTGTCAGGGAAAGGTAAAGGATCAGGCAATGGGGAGTTTCCATACTTTCGTTTCAAACTTTCTGGGGTATTGATAATAACTTCTGATTGTTTTGTTGGTGTGTTTTCTTGATTTCTTTTTGAGGTGCTCATAAGGGCCTGCTCATCTGAGGCAACATTATCTTCACCATCAACAAAGATCACCTAAAAATATGAATTAAAGCATATTAGGATTAGCCCTTTACAATGTACATCCACATATTCTCCATTTAAGATTAGCATACAGAGCACACTTGACTTGACAAGTTTAATTATCTAGCCTTTTTATAGGCTATGCAAAATGATCATATGCCCAGCTGACTTCACTCTTCAGATAAACTTACTCCCAAAATTTAAAATTGGTTTTTAAAAAATTCTAAAAGATCTAAGTTTTCAACTTTTAAACTCTTAAAAACCTGCATTATGCTGCAGTCATGTCTATCAAATATTAACTCACTGGGACAATTAGTTGAATCGGTCACAACTGTCATTTATTATGTAACACGTGAAAAATAAACAGTATTAAAATGAGAGATAATAATGGCCCTTCGAAATGTTACTGACGCCCCCCCCAATAATACATTCACATGTCATTCGGGCACTTCATTCTTAGAAAGAACAGTTTAATATATTATAAAAAGTTGAAACATTATGTTAAGACTCACCAAGTCCTCCTCGTTTTCGACTGTTTGGTCGAGTGGGTTCGATGAATCTCCTGTGATCAAGCTCGCATCCATGTGCGCTTCGTTGTCCTTGGCATTTTTAGACTCAGAAAGCACTTTTTTCACTTTCAATCTATGCCCAGACTTTGGAAGAACAGCCTTAAATTCGTCTATATCATTTGCAAGGTCCATTAACGTAGAACCATCAATCTCATTCTCTACAAATAGATAAAACAGACAATGATTTGATTACACTCGTCGGCCATTAGCGATTAACTTGACATAAATTATTCGAAAAGCACGGAAATACATCTTACCCTCAAGTAAATAACAAATCTCTTCTGATATACTTTTTTCTTTTAAAAAAACGACAAGCTCTTGTGTGTTCATCTGTGATAAATTCATTTTAAAGTGGCCTTCGCAATAAATAAAATTTAATCTTCAAACTCTCTCGAAGCACAGTTGTCAAAGCAGAGCAAAGAAATACAAACCGAATTGTAAATAAACAGCTGTTTGTATCTCGCGCGCGTGGGTTTTGCACCTCGCAACTTTCTTATTGGTTAAGACCGTAATTAAGAACGCGTGACCACGCGTGATGCAGGTTACTGATCTGTATATACAGGTTGGTACAGCGAATAGCGATATAAACAACACTGATTGATTGTCTATGATCTTTGATATGTCAAATGTATTATTTATGCCCAGTTAACAACTTTAAGTTTATCCAGTTAATAAGTGTGTTGTATAACACACGGTCACCTTAGGTGTGTTCCTTAACACACCTAAGGTGTATTCCTTGGATCGGTCAAGGTGTGCTTTCGAACCCCCCAAGGTGTGTTTTTCCTAAAAAGGTGTGCTTCTTTACACACCTTAATGCGCAAAGGAAAGGTGTGCAAAAGATTGGTGTGTTCCCTAACACGCGAAGGTGTGTTTTCCTACACACGAAGGTGTGTTTTCTTTGTGTGTATCTAAACACACCTTGGTGTGTAATTCTACACACCTGTTTTTTGTGTGTAAGCCTTTAATGTTAACTAATTACTCCGGCGAGAGCGACGGAGTTAAAAATTCGCCTAGGTTTTTTTTTTTCTTGTTTTGTTTTTACTTCTCGTCGTCTCAAGTGTGTTTTGGCGCTAAATATACTAGTATTTGAAAAATGTATCTGACCGAATTTATCAACGCCACAGTTTGTCTCCGAAGAGTTGTGGTGCACCGAGTACAGTTCGAAATCTCTGACTAATTTTCCAATGCGCGATTTGATTTCTCTCGCATGATACGGTAATCCCTCAAAGAGGAACAAATAAACCATTAAATGGATGCTGTTCGATTAAGTTTAGATTTAATTGGGGTCAGAATATATTTAATACATGTAGATTCTGGTCCTTTTTTTATCGCTGCTATTTCGCTATTTAAACAAGATGTGGTCGTGTATGGGCGCGTTAACACGCCTTCGCAGTTTGCACAGGATTGAAGATTTAATATAAGCGTGAATTCCAAACAACAAGACAAAGTGAACGTATCGTGCGGTTTATTTATACATTTTTGCACAACGAATTTCTATACTTTTTAAAGTACGATGCGCTTCTGAATGTCGCGATCGAACAACATTTCAGTTCGCAAGGCATCTAAATGAATATGAACTGTATTGTTTATGTTCAGAAGCTTTATATTGAAGTCTGCATGGCACGCGTGCGGCACGCTGGAGTTAACGCCAGAACAGGCGTCTTGTTTTATCGTCTTGTTTTGACTATGTTTCATGACTACTTTTATAATTACAATAATAAATGGGTAACGTCAATGACGTTTTAACTGAGAAAATGGTGAATAAAGAAATTCTTAAGCTCATATAGTCGCTCAGATGGCCTAAAAATGCATGCAACCTAGATTACTATATTTTATTTTTCCACAAATTGTTTTATCTTCTTGTAGCCGCCATCTGCGAATAATGTAATTTTGCATGTGCGATGTAAGTAGAGTCACACAGCATGCATTTTCCTCTCTCACAGAACAGGCGTCTCGTTTTGGCGTCTTGTTCTGACTACGTTTCATGACTACTTTTAATTACAATAATATATGGGTAACGTTAATGACGTTTTAACTGAGAAAATGGTGAATAAAGAAATTCTTAAGCTCATATAGTCGCTCAGATGGCCTAAAAATGCATGCAACCTAGATTACTATATTTTATTTTTCCACAAATTGTTTTATCTTCTTGTAGCCGCCATCTGCGAATAATGTAATTTTGCATGATACGCTGTAAGTAAAGTCACACAGCATGCATTTTCCTCTCGACAGTCAATTATTAAAATAACACCAAAACGCCGCATACTCAAGTACAATTTTAATTATAAACTTAAACGGAAAATTTTAACTAAAAATTTCCACACTTACACAAGGCTTACTCTGTGATTCAATTCAGTCGGTGTTATTATTACACATTTTGTAAAATTCGGGCTATCTTTCGTTAATCTTGTAGATGCATGAGGCCTTGTAAGTGAAGTCACACATACAATATGCATATTCACATGGACAGTCAATTATTAAAATGACACCAAAACGCCGCATACTCAAGTACATTTTTAATTATAAGCTTAAACGGAAAATTTTACGCAACTGAAAATTTCCCCACGTATTGGAAGGTAAAACCGGAGGTCGGCATACTTGAAAAGGTTTCAAAAAATGTTATAATTATTATTAATCAATCTCTTTGACAAATGTATACTATCCTGCATTGTTATTCAATATATCAACTTAAGTAATTTGTCCGCCATTAAGAATTTATGTAAACATGCAAGATGAGTTGTAAGTTGAGTCACGCAACATTCTCATCCTAGAAATTTCAACCAACTTTCGATGTACGCTACCTGACTGATCCTAAAACGTACTACGTCGAGTTAATTCATGCACATAAAGGAGCATTAAGACATATAAAAAAATAATTTCTATGAAAATTGACTATGCAAAATGATTCTTATCCGTTATTATGCCTTCAATCATGTGTGAGATTATTAAATATAAGATGATTATTTACATGACTAATAAACTATTTACAATATAACACTTATAGTATGCGCGTGCTGATTGGTCGAGAAGCGCTGATTCTATATAATGGTAGAAAAGAGTGTTTCTATAACTGTTGACTTTTTCCGCCGAAAATGACTAGCGAAGTAATGTAATGAAAATTATAAGTCTTTTTACTGAGTTGTACTCTAAAAAAAATAGAAACATTTTTTGCTGTGATTCTACACAGTTATAGAAACACTTGTGGGAGTTTAAGAGAACTCGAAATGACGTAGTAAAGCTCTCGCTGATTATTTCTAATTCTCTTAAACTCCCACCCGGAAATGTTTCTTACGTTTAAAATACGAAAGGAAGAGCAATATGTTCAAATTGAAAATGGCTGTCTTATTAAGCATTTGTGCTTTAGTTTTCATCTCAAGGATACTCCAGCCGGGTGAATGCTCAGTCGCCGAGGCCTTCTTTCGCAGAATTGATGGCAAATATTTAGCGAATCATGTCATCGAAACTAAACATGCAGGAACTGAATTAGAATGCAGTAGGCACTGCGTTGCTCATGAATCATGTGTGTCAGTAAACTACAAAACCTCTGGAGCCGGTAAAGGTCGATGTGAGCTCAACAGCAAAACCCTTCAAGACACATCTGACGATGATGAAAGTACGAGAAATCGCGAGTTCAAACATCTTTATATGATCAAAAAGGTTAGACTATAACGAGATCATTTTTTTCCTTAAATTTTTGTTACTTCAAACCAGATCAACAATTTTTTGCTTGGAACGAATAATCCCGAAAAATAAAACAACGGCACAAGTAAATACGACACAAGTCTTTTTTTACATAGATATCTTCGAAATCAATTCCAACAAGTAACCCGAAGCTTAAGTTGTCACAAAGCCCCTCCAAAGGTACGATAAACTTTTGTTTACGCATGAAATATTTGAAAGTCGTCAGATAGGTTTATCCGAAAAGATAATTATATACGTTGTCAAACAGCTAGAGCAAAGTGTCATACACGCCCGACTTCTTATTTCATTTCATATATAGCTATCATGATATATCATGATTAAATTGCAAAATAGAAATGTCAATAAATAAATAGATCATATGTCACGTAGCATGATGTTGGAATAAGTAATCTACTGTCTTTCAACACTAGTGGCGTAACTAGAACGATAATAAATATATATATATATATATACACCCGTTTGCAAAAACGTTGGCCGCAGATATATATATATATATATATATATATATATATATATATATATATATATATATATATATATATATATATATATTACGTTTCGAGGCACAGCCCCTTCGTCAGAGACGATATAAGATCCTCTCCATGTAAAATTTATATTGGCGGAATTGAAAGGCTTTTTGGCCAAACGGGGGTATAGTAATGAATTTGTTGAAAGTCAGTTTGAGAGAGTGAGGCTTTTGGATCGTTCAGCGCTTTTTAATAAGGAGGTGGAACAACAAAATAGTGAACAAAAAAGCAGAAGTATTTTTGTCATAGATTTTTACCCAGCTTTGCGTGAATTGTATGGTATTTTTAGGGAATTGCAAAATATTGTAGGTTTGTCTGGGCAGTTTTTGAGCGTTATGCCTAAACAGCCTATGGTATGTTTTTAAAGATCCAAAAGCCTTAGATATCATCTGGTTAGGGCTAAATTGCAAAAAGTTGAATGCTCAGTTAAGGGGATTGGTTAAATGTGGTAGTAGAAAGTGTAAAGTTTGTGATTCTATTGTGATAGGCGAAGTATTTTATAGTGCGGTTCGGCGGCGTAGGTTCTATATTAACCATCTCTTTGACTGCAATTCAAAGGAAGTGATTTATCTGGTAACTTGCAAAACTTGTAGTAAACAATACGTGGGCAACACAGTGACGTCATTTAGATTAAGGTCTAATAACCATAAGAGTTCGATCAATAGATTTGCTAAAGGACAAAGGGGTATTTGTGGACAGCATTTGTATGAACATTTTTTTGAAGCAGGGCATTTAGGGTTTAATGACTTTTTAGTGCAAATTATTGACGTCACTGATGTTAATAAACCCACTGAAAGAGAAAGTTTTTGGATTGAGAAATTGAATACTTATATTCCAAGGGGTTTAAATTTAAAAGGAGTATTAGTTTATGTGAAAGGATGATTAATTGCCGTAAAATGAAAATGTTAGGGCTATGGTATTTAATGACATGGAGAGGATCTTATATCGTTTCTGACGAAGGGGCTGTGCCCCGAAACGTAATATTTTTTTTTCTTCTCAAATGATGTTTTACTTTTTGATTTCAATGATTTGAAGCTTTATAAAATGTATGTTTTTGGGAGGCTTTTGATTATATATATATATATATATATAATATATATATATATTAATATATATATATATATTTATTATATTATATATATAATATATATATATATATATATATATATATATATATATTATATATATATATATATATATATATATAAACAAACGTGGCTGCAAATAGATAGATAGATATTCGAAGTTTAATTAGAATTGTGTATGATTACATTTGCATGGGATTTCAATCATATTACACAACATATGAAATTCTAATTAGATTTCGAGTATCTATCTATCTGCGGCCAACGTTTTGCCAATGGGTGTATATATTTATATATATATATATATATATATATATAATATATTAATAATATATATATAATAATATAATATATAATATATATATATATATATTATATTATATATATATATATATATATTATAATATTATAATATATATAAATATATATATATAATATATATATTATATATAATTAAAATTTATTTATTTTTTATATATATATATATATATATACATATATGCCAAATATGTCATAAATATGCCAAAAAAATCTGCTTCAAAATACTCAGAGTAACTTGTTCTGCAACAAGGAAGTGACTTGCTAATAGAATTATATTTAGCATTTTAGTATTTTGTATTGTACAGTGTCAATTGTAGTGCTTTGTATTATATAATTTGACACCGTATGCAAATTTCGGCAAAGTAAAATGTTAATTATGTCCGAATTTTCTGCCATGATATTGTTGTATGCAGGACCGTAGCTAGACTGCTTAATTGGGGGTGTATGAATATAGTTAACACCCCCCCCCGTCCTCAATTAAGCTTCTAGCTACGGGCCTGGTTATAAGCATTCTCGATATTGCCAACTGAAAATAAAAGGGTTAAAAATGTTAATTGTTCTTTGCTACATGCATTGCTGAGAATGGGAGAAACAAAGTCGTACAGATTACAAATGAAACATTTTATACATTAGACAAGATTATTTTTAAACACATTTCAGCAGTAACAAAGACCTTAATTTTCGAATCATGTGAACAAACCATGCTCCATTTTTGTTCATTGATTCAAGTTGTATTTTTGAAAAAAAATCATGGAGATGTTTTTTTTTTCAAAATCGGTATATTATTTCAGGCTCTCTCTAAAATATGCAAAATACGCTGCATAAAAATGTTACCTAATTACGTTTTTCTAAACGTACCCCATTCCCAAACCCCAACTCCATCCAGCGAGGAAAACATGCCACCTCAGAATTTTTAGTGTTGTTGTGTAGGAGTTCAAGCGTTGTTTGTGATGACATCCGGAATGTCGTAAAAGGCCGAGTAGCTTCCGATGGGTGGGTTCTGGGTATATAGTTAACGCTCGTTGCTGAAATTTTGTTTTCACCATTTGGGGAAGCAGCAAAAATGTAAAAACATATATAATGTTCAATTAATTTAATTTAATGTTCCGATACTTTATTCAAAATACGTTGTTTATGTGGTTCCAATGGGATTGCACACATTTGCAGCTTCGTTGATCCTTGGGCCACAGGTTCTCCCATCGAAGGCTTTTATTGAATGGGACTTGGCTTGCGATTCCCTAACCATAATTATTCCTTAACAGTAGAATGGTTTGACAATGATGCCGTTCATATCTATTACTTCCACAATTTGCTCCGTCTCTATTTAGTGTAATCGCACTCAGCTAATTGACATCGATCCTTTGAATTATTCAACTTACTAGCACTGGTCAAATACTACATGCTAGGTCTACGTACTATACTAAAAGATCTACGTAGGGCTTTCTCGACAACCAAAATGTATCTATTTGTCTGCGAGCGGTTTTAAAAATGTCATATTACTAAGAATATTGCGCAATATCTCAGCTCTTTGCCACCACTATTGAACTCGTTTTGAAATGAGCTTTGAATGGTATGTTTCGGTCTTGTTTTGCGCTTAAAACATCTCACAAAGCTTTGAGTAAACATGCCCAGTTTAATTGTTAATAGTTACGTAATTCAATATTTACACCGTAAAAATTTGATTACAAAATTTTAAATGCTCCAAAATTTTTATTGACGTAATGTTTTTTAATTCTTTCTTTCCATGAGCAGATGAGCGCATGCTCATAACTGCTCATGAGCACATGCACATCTGCTCATAAAACAGCCGCGGCTACAATAGGCGTAGACACTAACGGGAATACTGTCCACTACGAAAACAAGAAAGAAACCAGTACTAAAATGCGGTGCCCGCAATGCTTGCCTAGAAGTAAAACGTCCACTCATTTCTAACGACATCACCAACTTACATTCTCCTGTCGGCCGCAGCCTGGTTGGTTGGTACATTAAGGTGGCTCCCTACAGTTCTAAGGTTGTATCGCGGTAATTTTGTCGCGCGCGAAATAGTACACGCAACACGCGTGGCTGATGTTGCATGCAGGGCGGGCTTTTTAAAACTTGTCATTGTGAACTTTTGATAAACACGCGCGGGCCTTCGCGGGATGTCGACTGGTCGCGCGAGGAAATTGAAATCCTGATTTTTGTGACGTCATAAACATAAAAATAAATGTATTTTTCTCGTTTTTCCTTCGGTAAATTCTTTTCAAACTTTACACAGTTTTCTGTAATCTTGAAATGCGTAAAATGTGCAAGTTTTAAGAAAATCGTACGAGCCGAATTTTTTTTAATTAAAAAACAGGATTTTTTGAGGATTTAAAAAAAGTGCTCGTACGATTTTTTTTAAATGCTAACATTAGAAAGAATTATGGATAAGATTACTGTGTGGAAAAAATTAGAAAGTTTTACCGAAGAAAATTTGAAAAAATTATCTCAGAATCTGTAAATTGGCCCTTTTTAAAATCGTTATTTTACCATGGCAACGAGGAAATTTTATGAAATGTTATATATTTCGTAATTTGCGATATCATAGCAGTTATGTGGCCAAGTTTCGTGATCATACTTTGTAAGATGATAAAATAATGGTCTTTCCAACACAATTGCGCATTACACAATCAAAACTGTAGGGAGCCACCTTAAGGTCAAAATTGCGCCTTTTTAAAATCTTCAGAAATAAAATATTTAGGCTAAAAATATTATCTAAAAATATTATCAAAATGAAGAGAAACGTGAGACGAATAAACTGGTGTAGAGCCGGAAACTAGAAAAGCAACGATACAGAAGTCAAGGATTAAGCGTACTGCATTTTGAATTTGTTTAATAATTTTGAGCGATTTGTCATAAAGTTCGCTTATTGAAACTATACTTTAAAACCTTCGAAATAGAATATATTTCGCTCAAAGTACTATAAAATAAATCGTAATGTAAGACCGATCTACTTATTTAAGGACAAAAATTAAAAGAGAAAACCAACGATATGAAAGATATCAAAGACCAAACTTACTATTACTAGTAAAGTATAGCATAGTAATTTTGAGCAATTTGTCAACAATTCAATTTCGTTTGTCTTTCAAACGTCATAAATCGCTGCGAATACTTTTGTTTAGTAATATATTTAAGACCTGTAAGTATAATTTCTTACGCTGAATCGAATGGTGGTATTTTTGTCCTTCTTGGGTGCATAAAAGCAGAGATACACGCAATTATCAGAGTTTGAGATTGAAATTGAAAAAAGAACGTTCCAAACATTCCAAGCATGTGCAAGGAATTTTTACTAGGTGATTAAGGAAACGTATTGATGCGAACAAACAAACTCACAGGCAGAATATAATGCGGTGCCAAACTTGGCGCGGGCACACCAATATGTCTCAAACAGCCTCGGACAGTCAAGAAAGGCATTACCCAGACGATGTCTCGACAATTTCCATTCAGCAGTCTGGAAGTTCAACGGCGACTGACTTGGATCATTGGATATCGCTAATAGAACAAAAAAGTAACCAGCTTTCGAGGAAATAAAGAAGGCCTTTTAAACAGTGGTTTCGATGAGCACTCTGCTAAAGAAAAAGCTTACTTGAATATTATGCCTAGACTCCAGAAAGAATTAGAAAATACCTATTTATAGCGTCTTTTGTGGATGAGACAACTAAAGAAAGATCCAGTACATAAGAAAGTATTAATGGACGCAAAAGATGCGTTTATAACAATGATGATTTTGACCAAGAAGAAGCCATGCATAGAAGCTGCAGTTGATAAGAGGAATTCTAATTAAGAGACTTTGAAACGACCACGAGATGGAAGATATGAAGGAAAATAAAGGCAGCGATGATGATGACTATGATGAAGATGAAGATATAGTTTAAACTTAGTCAAATGGCTCACTATTGAAACCTTTCTTAAAGAAACCATAGCAAACGAGCAAAAAGCGATAAACTTTTCACAAGAGATTATTGGTTACTGCTGTAACTAAATGCAAGGCAAATAAATGTTAAAATCGTTAATCCGTTGATTAATTTTTGAAATTTTCTTCTTCTCCGCTACTAGTCCACACATAATTTTCATTTTATCAACAAAAATGTCAAAAAGGTCCTGAAATATCTTACTGAGCGCATGAGCATGTGCTTATCTGCTCATCGCACAAAAATTTTAAAAAACATTACATATAATAAATATTAAATTATGTAACTATTACCAACAAAAACTAATTTGTTTGATTTAAGCACAAAACCAGACAAAACATACCATTCAAAAGCTTATTTTGAAACGAGTTCAATAGTGATGGTAATAAGCTGAGATATTGCGGAATATTTTTAGTAATATTGCATTTTTAAAACGCTCGCAGACAAATAGATGCATTTTGGTTGTCGAGAAGGTAGTACGTAGATCTTTTATGACGTAGACTTAGTACGTATACCTTTTAGTATAGCACGTAGACCTAGCACGTAGTATTTAACCAGTGATAGAACGTGGACTAATTCAAAGGATGTCATTTAGTTGAGTGCGATTACACTAATTAGAAATGCTGCGAATAGTGGGAATGATAGATATGGACGGTATCATGGTCAAACCATTCCACTCTCAAGGAATAATTATCGTTAGGGAATCGCAAGCCAAGTCCCATTCAATAAAGGCCTTCCATGGGAGAACCTGTCACCCAAGGATCAACGTAGGTTTAATAAAGCTGCAAGTGTGTAAAATCCCATTAGAACCACATGAACAACATATTTTTAAAAAAGTATCGGAACATTAACTTCAAATATTTATATGTTTTTACGTATTTATATTCCCATATTTGTGTTTTTTCAATTATAAAAAATTTCCAAACACACCCGATTTCATCATTAACAAACTGTTACATTTTCATTTACCAGTGCAATTTTTTCAGATTATTCATTGAAATATACGTTCCTTAATGTTTCTCAAAAAGGAGCAATGCTTCTCTCATATTTTGCTGTTTTGCTGCAATTTTGCATAGTTTAGACGACTCTCTAAATACATTTACTTTGAACACTAATATCGCTGTTTTTTATGCAAAATACAAGTTAACCATCCCCCTATCTAATGAAATGCGTTTTTCCGATTTCTTTTTTATTATTATATCACAGGCAGCCCGCTATTGGGTTTGCTTTTCGCTAAATATTTAAATACATTCTATGCAAAATGACATGAAGTATCACTTTCTTCATTCAACTGCTGGCATATTATCGCAGGCGCAACTTCGTGCGGTTTAGTGTAATGTATTATGTATAAAAATATACCAACCCAATTGGGGGCTACCTGTGATAAATATTAGTATAGTATAATTGCATTGTTTGCTGAGTCATCTTAAAACAGAAGAATTCATAATTCATCATTCTTTCATACCCAATAAACGAACATTTGTTAAAATTATCTTTAAACACATTAGTAGTGACAAAACCTTTATCCTCATTTACAGAAAATTCAAATGATGCCAACAAATCGTGCAGGATTTTACGAACAAAATATCCATCATCTGATAGTGGAAAGTATTCCATAAAGCCTGAAGGACTAAACCTCACGGTTCGAGTATTTTGTGACATGGTTTCAAAGAATGGTGTTGGTGTGACAGAGATTGGACATGACAGTGAATCGAGAACATTAGTTAACGGATATAATCCTCCAGGTTCTTACAAAAGAAAGATTAAATATAACATTTCCATGGAGCAGATTGTCGCGATTATCAAGCAGTCGAAGAATTGTGAGCAGTTTATAAAATATGAATGTTTTGGTAGCATGTTGTTGACTGATTCCGACGGATGGTGGGTATCACGTCAAGGTTCAAACATGACTTACTGGGGTGGAGCGGCAGTCGATAGTGGAAAGTGTTCATGTGGAATGACCAACAGCTGTGCAGGTGGAAAAAAATGTAATTGTGACATGAATGACTACGCATGGCGTGAAGACAGTGGATACCTGACAGACAAGAACACGCTGCCTGTTACTGAACTGAGATTTGGCGATACAGGTATACTTGACGGTTTCAATGAGCGTGGTTATCATGCGCTGGGTAAATTACGCTGCTGGGGATAAGAGATCGAACATCAAACCTGATATGATTCATAAAATTAAATAAAAAAATTTTGTAGTTTTATTCAATCTACTTCTCAACTTGCTTGTAGTCATCATCGGGATAGATTAAAAATGCTGGGATTTATCCCCGAGCCGGTGCGAAGCACCGGGCGAGGGCACTAATTCCGCCCGGAGATTTTAATTACGCCCGGGAATGCAAATGCGAAATGAAAGTTGTCTGCTATTATGTCATGGACGTTGGGCGTTTTTGTAAGTTATGCGCCTGCGTGAGTTTAAGACGAGTTAAAACTGGTAACTAGCAAACGTTTACAAACGTGCGATTAGCTAAATTAAAATTTTCATCACGTCAGCATAACTGATATTTTGAATTATAAAACTTTTAAATAATATTTTTCATTTGGATGGTCTTAAAAATATACGAAAAATTGATTCGTAAAATTCAATAAAATACAATGTAAAAGATGCCCTCGGATAGAAAAACTTTCATTCAAATATACGGTAAAAAAAACTACGATTTTGAGGCATTTTTGAAGTGCTGTTGAACAGGTAAGTGGGTAGATTTTGTATTTTAAAGCATGCAAGCATTTTGTAAGTCTTGAATTTATTCGTCAATTTCCTTGAAATGATTTTGATTTGGAAAGTATTTATTTTTAAAGGTTAATCTGTTTAAAAAGTAATTGAAATTTCGCTAAAAATTGTAGTATATAAAACTATTCGTAGCACAATTTATTAATATGATTATAATCGAATTTGATAGCTGGAGAGTCGACTTTGTAATTGTACCAAAATATAGGATTTTACTTTACGACTTCAATCATTCGGCAGAAACGAGTATTATAGCATTTCACTTCAGTGATGGAAATATATGTTTATTGCTTTAGGCGAGGGGACTTTGCATGCAATGTATTTCTAGTATAGTTAATAAGGAGGGACTTGATAATTTCATTAAAATATGATCAGTTCTTTGGAAGGCTTAGCACCGTGGTTAAGAACTTTTTGGTTTTCGTCGACGTATTGCGAAGAGCAATGATTTGCCCTATGTAAAATAACTTGTGTTAAGTCAGTGTTTATACTGTTAGTGCTATCAGCTGTAAGTTCCATCAACGATCTGACTTGTTGGAAGCGTACACTTCAGTCAGAACATATCAGATTGATGATACCACTTGTTTTGTTGTATAAAAATATTCAGTGCTTTTTGTAACTATAAACCTTACTTTGAAATTTCAATATTCATTAAACTAGACATGTAATAAATACAAGACTACTCGCATTGCTGTATTTAACATCGAATATTATAGACCCAAGTATTCGTGATTAAAATTTTAATGATTGTTATCTATTTATTGTTTAATGGGTAACAATCTTAAGCTTTCCGGCAATAGGAGGGAATTATTCATGTTATCTTATTTTAGCATAATTACAAAGGCGATTATTCAAATTTCGGCTATCTTTAAAACCAGGAACGGGAAATCAAGGAACGGGGAATGGGAAATGAGAATCTCTGGAATCTTTAAGACCCGGAATGAGAATCTCTGGAATCTTTAAGACCCGGAACGAGAATCTCCGGAAACTTTAAAAGCCGAAATGAGAATCTCCGGATCCTTAAAATCTGGGGCGATTGTTCGAAAGGCGTTTAGCTTAAACGGTGTTTAGTCGCAATCCACCGTATAAATTTCTTATGCGGCTGATAGTTAACAATTAGGTGATAAAACTGGGTTATACGAAGCCCGTTTATTCTCGCGTTTAACCATCCCCTGGATAAACTAATTTATTAAATATAAATGTTTTGGTAGCGTTTTTTTGACAGATTCCTATGGTTGGTTGGTATCACGTCAAGGTTCAAAGATGAATTACTGGGGTGGAGCGGCAGTCGACAGTGGAAAATGTTCATGTGGAATGACCAAGAGCTGTGCAGGTAGAAGAAAATGTAATTGTGGCGAGAATTATTGGACATGGCGTGAAGACAGTGGATACCTGACAGACAAACGCACGCTGCCTGTTACTGAACTGAGATTTGGCGATACAGGTGTACTACACGGTGAAGATGAGCGTGGTTATCACACACTGGTAAATTACGTTGCTGGGGATAAGAAATGTAACATCAAACCTGATGTGATTCGTAAAATCTGTTGACTTTATAAAATACAATAGAACAGTAACTCGAAGTAACATTTTGTAGTTTTATTCTATCTACATTTCAACTAGCTTGTAGTCATCATCGGGATAGATTAGGGTAATATTACAAATTCTGGGATATATATATATATAGTTGAGAAGGAGGAACTCGATAATGTCTTTGAAATATGATCAGTCCTTTGGAAGCCTTAGCACCGTGGTTAAAATCTGGTTTTCGTCGGCGTATTGCGAAGATCAATGGTTTGACCTATGAATTTTTTTGCAATTTTAAAAAATAATTTGTGTTATAAGTCATTCTGTCAGTGTTTATACTGTTAAGCCTGTTTTCCACTAGGCGACTTTTTTCGCGCGACGCGACTTTTTTCGCGAGAACAGTTTGCGCGATCAATGTTTGCAATTTCCACTGAGCGGGCCAATAAGCGAGCGCAAACTGGCGAATCAGCCAAACGACTGGTCAAAAAGTGTTGCAAACAAGAAAAACAAACATGGCAGCTTTAAATAGACGCTGGATTTTAAGACGAAGAATTGTGATTTTGCTGCTTTTAAGAAAGCGAAGGCAACGTGTAAAATACAAGAAAAGATTCTGGGTGAGAAAAGTTTACGATGAACGCAAGTCAAAGGGTGAATTTAACGTTCTTGTACGAGAATTAATGCTGTCAGACCACGAGTATTTTTTTCGTCTGTTCAGGATGTCTCCCGGTATGTTTGAGCTTTTACTATCTTGGGTCGCACCGTTAATAAAGAAAGAATCCACAAAAATGCGGGAACCTATCCCTCCGGACGAAAGACTAGGCGTAACCCTCAGATATCTTGTAACTGGCGACGCACAAACGACAATAGCTGCGAATTATCGTATCAGTCCCACAACAATTGGCCGGATAATTGAAGAGACTTGCGATGTATTATGGCATTGTCTTTCTAAACAAGGGTTTTTACGTGTACCGTCAGATGTGAAAGAGTGCAAAAAAAAATCTCTCAAGAGTTTGAACAGAGGTGGAACTTTCCTCATGCCCTTGGGGCATTGGATGGCAAGCATGTTGTGATGCAGGCACCTGCTCGTTCAGGGTCAACTTTCTTTAACTACAAAAAAACTCACAGTATCGTCTTGCTGGCTGTTTGCAATGCCCGATATGAGTTCACCTTGGTGGATGTTGGTGATACTGGCAGACAATCTGACGGCAGTGTAAATGCAAACAGTTACCTTGGGCGTGCAATACAAGATGATTTGCTGGATTTTCCTGAGCCAGAGTCTTTATTCATTTCTCCAAGTAAAAAATTTCCATATGTTTTCCTAGCAGATGATGCTTTTGGTCTTAAAACAAATATGATGAAACCCTACCCTGATCAGTATTTACCTGTAGCTGAGAGGATTTTTAATTACCGGCTCTCAAGAGCTTGAAGAGTAATTGAGAACGCTTTTGGTATCACAGCTACACGGTTTAGGGTTGTACTTATTACCAAAGCTGTTGTTGCTTTGCACAACTTCTTAATGAAGTCAAGTCAAAGAAACAATTCTTATAGCTACTGCCCACCAAATTATGTCGATCAAGAAAGTTCCTTTGGTACAATTCCTGGTGAGTGGAGAAGGAATGGAAGCTCAGATGATCTGTTACCCATTACACGTATGTGTTCAAATAACTACTCAAGAAACGCCAAGCAAGTGCGAGATGATTATAAAGACTATTTTATGAAAGAAGGGGCAATAGACTGGCAATGGGCAACTGTAACAAGAGCCTGAAATAATGTTGTAAAGGCAAATTGTAACTTGTAAAAATTGTAAAATTTGAACATTCTTATAACTATATACATGTTAAATTATTGCATATATTTTGGTAAAAAATTTTTATAAATATATATATATAAATAACAAACTGTTGATAATAAATTAAGGGGGTGTTTACATGAGCCCATACAGGGAGGGCTGACCTTGCTGGGCAACATCCCACTTAAGTTAACACAATATTCAAATTTCTGTTGGTTATTTCTTAAGTTAGACTACACAACAATATTCAATTCTGTCTCATGTAAATGCAAGATGAAATCCAGCCCTACTGCTAGGGTTTGCTCTCCTTGTAGAGCTCATGTAAACACCCCTCAAGAAATTAAACTTTACAATACCTAAGCAACATCATCAAATTCTACTTCAAACAACAATTGACTGATCTTTATTTTAGCCAGCCTTCTTTTTTTATCAGGCAATCCTTTCATAATAGGTACAAGGCTTCGGCAATATAATGAATCTTCGTCGTCATCCTCTTCAGTCATTTTCTTGTACATGGCATCACTGTCAGTTAATTGCTTTAAAAGCATGAGTTCTACCACATCTCTATTCATCCTGTTTCCACTTCTGTTGGTTGAAAAGAGTTCAGAACTGAGGGGACGCTTGTGTGCCCTTGCAGCTTCTGTTGTCTGCATTCTTGTTGAAGTGGTGGGTACATCTTTGGTTGGAGTGCACCCACTTGAACTGCCTTCCACTGTTATAGTATCAGCAGGGGGGGACAAGATAGCATTTAGATTGCTTTCAGTTGGCCTATTTCCTACACAACCATACAGGAATGCCATTTGTTCAAAGTAACGGCACATTGGCAGGCAGGATGCAGTCGCTCCAGATCTTGTCATTTTTGACCTTTTGTCGAGGCACTTTTTTAGGTTGTCCTTCAGGTTCTTCAGCTGTCTTTGAAACAAATCAACTAAAATATAAAAAGTACAATAATATAAATATTATTGGGTACTTAAATTGGGTTTGGGTATTTAATATCAGTTCAGCTATCATGCATTTATGCAACACACATTGACAAAGTTAAAACATCTCAAGCCAAAAATATGGATAAAATACAGCTATAGATCACAAATTGGACTGAAACAACTGATATTCTATTAGTTATGC